ACTACTCTTTGATTAATTTGGAAATATAACTCAAAAACCAAATTAGTTTACAGTGTGTTTTTGTTTCTCCGTGTTGGTGTGTTTTACCCTCTTGATAATGCACTGTATTTATAAGATGGACTAAATCATTTCCAATCCTATAATAATAAACATGAGACCCAACCAACTTGTTGGTGTCCCCTACTTTATTTGTGGGTGGAAGACATGAGTGGAGTGAAATGAGGAATTAGGATTCCAACAATGGCAATGTAGTTGGGTTTTTGGAAAAGAAAAAACAAAAGAAATAATACAAAAAGCAGGGAAAAAAACATGTAAATTCAAAGTACACTGTCATTCACTGCATTTCGGCTTCCTGAAGAAACTACTTCAAGATGCAAGTGATGACGGCCATTAAATGGAACATAATCTGGCTTTCATACTTGCGTGTATCCACAAAAGAATTCAAACTTATAAATGTATAATGAATGATGAACAAATCTAATGTAAACTATATCTATTGCCATGTCTACAACAACAATAATAAGTTCTAATCCCGCAACTAATAACTTCTAATCCCGCAACGCGGATTTCTTCACTAGTTTTATTTAAATTAAAACTTTTCACAAATGTTGATTTCAAGAAAGTTAAATGATTTAAAACGATTTAATTGTCTAAATTATATGAGGGGTGCTTCACTATGTCCTATTATTTTCAAGTGCTTCAAAGTCCTTAAATAATAAGTCAAAACTTCCTGAATTTCAACATGGCTTTGCCACACAAAAGCAATAATACGTTATCATTAGACGTTATTTGCAATCAAAATCACATACATATAAAATAATTTATAAATGAACAACATGACTATGCATATTCATGTGCTATGTCGAGGAGGCAAACACTAAAGTTGCTTCGGGTCGCACAACATCGGCATATGATCCACACCATTCAACTCTTTCACCTCAACCATTGGATTGTTTTCGATCATCCAACGTTGAAACTCTTCTTTGATTGTTATATCTTCATCACAAATGACAAAAGCTCGTTTTACAGAACCAAACATTCCTTCTGTAAAATGTTTTGCTGTGGCTAGGTCTTTTAGAAATAAAGATCCGGACCTTATCAATAATTTTCCTAATTCACGATCCTATATGTAACAGAACAGTGTTATCATTAATCCAATGATATTAATTATTTTTGAGAATGATGACGATTATTACCTCATTGGAGCAAAGTTGATAGAGTTTCAATGATAGAAACTCGGGACCAAAAAGCATCGATGTTTCAGACTCGTTTTCATCATTGTATGGCAATAATTGTGTGTCCAACCAAGCTTCTAGTGGTGTGCTTTTGTTATACTGTATATTCAGTAAATAAAATAAATTGTAAGATATAATGCATTGAAAACTAATAGAAATTATAATTCTAAATACATCTTGGACAATAAATAATGGAAGTATATATTAGTTAATGTGCATTCCATTTCTATGTAATGTTATTTAATATCTATATTTTTGATTTCACGTCCATAGTTTTTTACCGTTTTTACCATTTAGGGGTTCATACATGAGCTCAATGCTATATGTATATTTTCTTTTTTGTAACTTTTTACATTAATTCAGTCATATGATCTTAAAATTTTCTTCTCAACTTTGTTCTTATGAGAATAGAAATTATTTTAGAATAATTTACAAATATTGGGTTATGATATTACAACTCAAAATATTAATGAATTACCACATATAATACAAATTATAGAAATTTATGCTCATGATTTAATTCCCTAATGTCAAGAAATTGTTTGTATCGACAATTTTGATTGTTTGAAAACGATATACATATCAATCTAGCAATTAATTTGAAGTGTAGTGGATCTAGTTTTCAGGCCCCACGAGTCCACAACCACAATTTTAGATTTCACTATTTATGGACACTATTTGAAAATGTTACACGTATACTTATTAGTCATGGCCGAATTATTGCTTTGTGTTGATAACTATGTATAGATTCGTTGAAAATATGACGTACCAAATTTAATACCACATGTGGATGCAAAAGTTATAATTAATTTTTTTTAGGATTAACATGATAACATGTTATTTATATTTATGTAGATCTTAGTTATGACAATAACAAATTATGTTTCAAAATTATACAAAAAATAATGCTTAACTTTGTTTAGCAACCGGTAGAAAGCGTAGATGATGCGAAACGAATAATTTATCCTTCTTCTCATCAATTTCTTCAATCCCCTTAACAGTTCCAGGATGGAACAAACCGCTCCGACCAACTATGAAGACCAAACTGGCGTGCAACAACATTCAAACCTCTCCCCACCGGTTGACCTAAACCTAAACAGAACATTAGATGCCCCATTTGAGCCTGAAATAAGTGAAGACTGCTCCTCAGGTCTGGAAGCTCAGCAGACAGTGAAAATAGGAAAAGAGCTCGGTTTTGAAATCGAGCAGGATAATCCTATCCTAAAAGAAGTAATGGGTGAATCCGGAGAACAAAGAAATCCCAATGATTTTGGGAAACCCCCTTTTAGGTTCTTCAATTTGTGGATGAACTGGGAGGGGTTTGATAAAGTTGTTACCTAAACTTGGACTACTTTTGTTAGGTAGGGAACACCTGACAGGTATCTGTTGGCAAAATTAAAACACCTAAAAAATGCAATCAAGGAATGGAGAAACATGGAATTCCCAAAGGAGGACATGGAATTGAAAAATCTAAAACAAAGAATTCAGGAGCTTGATCTAGCTACAGAGAACCGGGTCCTAAGTAATGATGAGATACAAGAAAGAAGTATGGGCTTCTAGAAAATTGTAGACTTGGAGAGGATGGTGGTTCTCGATCTCAAACAGAAATCAAAAATAAAATGGACAGTGGACGGGGATGAAAACACACGCTTCTTTCATGGGTGCGTAAACAATAAAAAGAAAAAAAAATTGAATTCACGGCCCAATCATCAATGGTGAATGGAATATGGAGGCAAGTGAGATCAAGAAGGAGGTGTTTAACTTCTACATTAGAAAATTCCTGGAGAAATAGTCATCAAGACCGAAGCTTGTAAACCCCAGATTCCGTTCACTGAGTTTAGATGTTAGCAACACCCTTGAGGCCCCTTTCACCATTGAAAAAAAATAAAAATGCAGTTTGGGAATGTGAGAATGAGAAGGCCCCAGGACCTGATGGTTTTAGTTTTAAATTAATCAAAAAAATCTGGGATATACTAAAGGCTGACATATTATCATGTGTGAAGCATTTTGAGGTGTATGGGCAAATCAGCACGAGATGTAATTCCTCCTTTATACCATTGGTACCAAAAATAAAAGATCCACTTAAACCTGGCGACTACCGTCCAATTAGCCTCATCGGATGTATTTATAAGATTATTGCAAAATCGCTTGCAAATCAGTTGAAAGTTGCCATTGGGCAAAATATTGATGAAGTGCAGTCGGCCTTTGTGTAACGCCCGTGTTTCTAGGTTAGGCATTAATGATGATGTAATAGTCTAAGTTGACCTTTGTAACCCGTTTTGA